ATAACTATAGGATGCGAAGCTCTAGCTTCATCAGCCACTGGAGATGAACCAGAAACATATGCTGATGAATGCAGGATTTTGACCTCCTTTCCCTAATTTATACATCATTCGCTAATATAATGACTAATTCTTCAATCTGGTGTCTTACACTCTTATTAAACCTGCACATCAGAACTTCACTAATAAGATTTCTAGATACATTAGAATACTTTGCCTAATCATTACTTTCCTAGTATGTGAAAAATGATCCCTGAAGCCACGTATGTTTGCTGATTACACTATTTATAGATGGTATGAGCTGGTAAGATGCTTCATTACCAAATACTCATTTACTAGAAAACTCAAGTTAACTTTTAAGCTAGTTACACTGTGATTTGCTCTGTAAAGGCAGCCTAAGCTTTGGCTCGGACTTTGGTCAGGGTGCGTTTACTAGTACACAAGTCTAGTGCTGTACTTAAAAGTATACTGCATATAAGCCAAGCAGATACACGCCAAGAAGACAGGTTCTGCACCACCCAGTTATCAACAGCTTCTGCACTGCTGTCAGTTCTCGAAGTACCAGTTGTATTTACATAGTATCTAAATGGAGAAGGGTCACTTGACTGAGCTCCTCAGTTGGATTATTACAAGCACCTCAGAGCTGAGCCCGTATGATTACAAAAATCATGGTAGCTTAAAGATGCGACAGTGTAAAATCAAGCTTGAAGTAGGTTTACAAATGAAATAGTAAGCAAGAAAGGTATCAAAATCTCCATTTTTATAACTCTACACGACACTAAGTTGCTGATTTTTTACAACAGAAGTTTAGAAATTTATGTTCTTATTCACTTCTATGCAAAAACAATAAACTTGCAGCCTGTTTTTATTCTTATACATTCATGTAACAATAAAATTGACTTTGAAACTCAAAAAAGTTAATATACAGAGGTCTGAACTACATATGATTAAGCAAATTCTGATGAAATTATCTCAATCAATAGTTTCATATTCACTACATCTAGACCTATATTCAGAGAACAAGCATTAAAGGCACATTTTAAAGGAGATGGAATAAAATAATAAAACTAAAACAATTTATCACCATTAGGTGAAGAGCTGGCAATTTCTCCTATTTTGCAGAATTCCGGAGGGTCAAACTATAGTAACTTCCACAGAAAAGTCTCAAGGGATTTACAGAGCGAGTGAGACTACTATTTATCTCCACCTCTTACCCTGATAGCCTTCAAGCCACCCGATGTTTTATCCTCTTCAACAGTGGCAGTAACTTCCTGTCCAACAGTCAGCGGCACAATTGTTTTAACAGCATCCTTTGTGAATATTATCATGTCATCTATCATCCCATAATCATGGCAAAATCTTGTCACTACTCCTCGTATAGTTTTTAATTCTTTACCACCTGCAGCCAGAGAAAAAGTGTTGGCTAAAACCAAATTGCTTGTTTACGGAACTATGCAACAAATACTGAATGCTGCTAAAAGTCCTAACCCTTCCTATCAAAAGGTCATTCTCTTTTCGACTAAAAATACCAACAATTGCTAATTAATTAGTTTCACATTTAAGTCTTGAAGTCTCATGGCAACTTATGGTTTCAAACAGTTAAGAAAGCTAAATATAAACTACATTGTTAAAACAACATTCTTCAAGGCACATGAAAAAGATCATAGAACATCTCAAGTTGGAAGGGACCTGCAAGGATCAAGTCCAACTCCCTACTCCTTCCAGGACTACCCAGAACTAAACTGTATGACTAAGATGCTTCCTGAACTCTGACAGGCTTGGTGCTGTGACGCTTCCCTCAGAAGCCTGTTCCAGTGACTGACCACCCTCCCAGCAAAGCACCTCTTCCTCATGTCCAATCTGAACTTCCCTGATGCAGCTTCACCTTGTGTCCTATCACTGGTCCCTAGAGAGGTCAGCATCTCCCCTTCTACCACCACTCTCCTTGAAGCCTCAGCTGCTCCTCATAAGACTTGTGCTCCAGACTGTTCACCATCTTTGTTGTTCTGCTCTGGACATGCTCCAGTACCTCAATGTCTCTCTTATAGTGAGGGGCCCAGAACTGAACACAGCATTTGAGGCACAGCCTCACAAGTGCTGAGTACAGGGGGACAATTACTTTCCTAATCCTGCTGTCCTCCAATAAAGAATGGAGATTTTCCTTAGCCCTCCTTTTATTGTTAACATATTTATAGAAAACATTATTATCTTTTACAGCAGTAGCCAGATTAAGGCCTAGTTGGGCTTTGGCCCTCCTAATTTTCTTCCTGCGTAACCTCACAATATCCTTGTAGTCCTCCTGAGTTGCCTGCCCCTTCTTAGAATCAGAGAAGAGTTACGGCTGGAAAGGACCTTAAGATCATCTAGTTCCAACCCCCCTGCCATGAGCAGGGACACACACTATGTATTCCAAAGGTCACAAACTTCTCCCCCTCAGAGTTCAGCCAAGCCAGGACTGCCCCATTTCAGGTGTAGAACACAGCACTTAGATATACATATATATTCAAATACATTGAAAAATCTGAGGAAGAAAAAAAAATACCCACAAGCTGAACAGCTTCTCCCAAAAGCTCTGGGCCAATTTTCAAGATTTCCATGCATTTTGTGCATGGGGAATCCAACACACTTAGAATTCCTATACTGAAAAAGCAGAAAGTATTCCTAGGAACACCCCCACATGCTCTGCAGTCAAAAAGGCTGCTTTCTTTTCTTGATTCCCTTCCTTAAGCAAACAGGTCTTCACTCAGCCCCGCTCGCGCAAAGGGAGAGACCACCAGCACCCTCAAAGCTCGGAAGCTGCACGCACGGCCTGCATGTAGCACCGCAAACGCACGAGGGGCCCAGGGACTCCTACCTGACGCCGCCG